GCAGGAATGAATCGAGAAACCCCGTGGTCTTTTTTATATAACGAACATCACGTACCGCACACTTGAGCGATCAGGCACGTGAGAAGGGAGTACGAAGCAATGTTAAATGGTACACCGAGGCCCATGTCAGCCGAACGCTGATACATTTGACATGACAGTTCCCCGTTTGCAACATAGAACTACGAGGGATGGAAATGAGAGACACATAAGCAGTAGAAACATAAACACCGAAATAGAACTTAGAACGTAAAAAAGGTATTTACCTGAGCAAACATGTGGCATGGAGGAAGTGCCATCGACTTGAGGTCAGAAGGATTCCAAGCAGATAATATAATCCTTCGATCATCCGGCTTATTCTTAATCTTATCAATAACATCTAACAGCTGATCGAACCCTTGCCCTTTATAATCAGCATGCATGTCAATGTACCTGTAAAACATTAAGAAGAACAGCTAAAGTCGAAAACTTTTTAACCCGAGCATCCCAATGGAAGTGAAGACGTAGAAATATAGAAAGATCTACCGACCTAGCGCCAAAGTGTCTCCACTGAAATCCATATACGGGTCCAAGGTCACCTTCCTCTCTTTCGGTAAGGCCAATACTGAAAAAAGATTTGCAATTATCAATCATAAGAACCCGCAATGAAACCTTTTCGATATATATTATACAGTCAGCTATAAGCCTGCCTGTCAAGATAGTCCCTCGACGCATTCCCATCCCAGATATGGATGCCCTTTTCCTGCAGTATCTGTACCATTCATACTAGCTTTTCAGACAACTCATTGCGGTATCGCCGTTTAAAGGATGGTGCCTATGCCCTAAATGCTGGTTCAACCATGTTTCTGAAGATAAAAAATATTGCTGCAAACGATAATTTTACCCTGGCATTTGTCGAGCCGCTTATGAACCATAGAAGTTCCTCAACAACACCTCGCCAGAACACTCTCTGCAAAGGAGATGCAGACACAGACAGACAATGTAAGGTTGGGCACGTGACCGTAATCGAATTGGAATTTAGGGAGAACCGCCTGAAAAAGAAGTAAGCATTCTATTTCCGAAATGAAGAGTTATGGAAGTTGGCATACCTTGGTAGTCAGAAGTGGAAAATTCCTGCGTAAATTGAATTTCAGCTGTGGTTCCACATGAAAGAGAGATTAGCATCCTTAATAACCAAACCGGGGGAACCTTTAAATTGAGCAAAAGCTCCAAACATCACCTGGCAACCGAATTTCGATAACGTGCCAGTCCCCGTTCTATCATCTTTCAAGTTGCCAGTAGATATGATGTCTTGAACCAGATTCAAGTACAGGAATTCCTCGTGCCGGTCGAAAATCATCTTCGGGAGGAAAGAGAACCTTTTCACATTAAATTTAAGGGCTTCTGACCCGTCACTTTGATCAGAGAATTCAGCTGCAGAACTCCTCACACGAACGTAAGTGGTGAAGCAAAATCGGATTCCATTTTCAGCTATCGGAAATGATGAGTACCAAGGCTGATATACAGAAGTGTCAATCGGGGGTATAAATGTATCACAGTCAATACTCGCATCAATCTCGGTTAAGTGGATGGCATCACAGCTAGGTCTGTTCAGTGCTTCCCTACAATTACAACAACGGTCTGTGATAACGATGCAACCAAGAAAAAGAGCGAATCCCTTCAAAAGACTAAGGGAATAACACTCACCTCAATATATCACCACCTCCTATAACAAACACCCTCTCGATGGACAGGCAATACGGAGGTGCAGCTAGTAAGTCCAAAGCAGAATCTATGCTACTACAGGTTAAAACATTCTCAGTGTTGGCTATGTCAAAACCGCCGGAACGAGTGAGAACAACGTTAAGCCGGCCAGAGAGAGGCCGATACTTTGGCGGGATAGATTCCCAAGTTTTTCTACCCATCACAACAGCATTCTTCTTTGCAGAATCCGACGTGGTCAAAGTTATGTCCTTGAAGAATTTGAGATCAGTAGGCAAATTCCAGGGCAGTTTCCCATCTTTACCGATACCCATTTCCCTCGTTGCGGCCACCACGACTTGGTAAGTTGTCCGAGGATCTGACGCCATTGTCACATTGCCATTAGGACCAGTCACCATGGTTGGAACCAAAACCCGAAAGAAGTTTGCAGAGAATGGCTTGGGATAGAAATTACTGAACCACCTTTTGGACAAAGGCAGCAGAGCCTGATAATATACACATAAAAGCACAAACGTTAACGAGAAATCGCAACTGATTTCAGACAATTACATCAAAGCTGACAGAAAAACACCTCAAATTCTAACTAGCAGATCAACAGAACCATCTATGTGACCACAAGATTCTTGAGAGAAAACGCAATCAAATTGTAAAAAAAAAAATCGATATTTTCTCCCTAAGAATCCAGCTGAAATTATGGCTCGAAAATTAGAGCAACCATTCAGCTCCCAATCCATCAAACCACCAACGAAACAAGCACAAGGACACAAGAGAGCGTAAACATACAAAAATAGAAGAAAATCAAACGAAATGCGACGAAGATGATACCAACACTGACCGAATTGAAGGCGAAAGGAAGAATCTTTGAGGGGTTCTACAAAAAACCCAGGGACGAAAACGAAATCCCAGTGTGAAATTACGGGATTCCAAGAGGAATCGGAACGAAAACTCAAGTGGGTAGGTTTCGATTCGAATTCCGCTAGCTTAAAAACCCTTTTTTTCCTTCTTCCTTTTCCCCCTTTTTTTTGTAATGGATAGGGACATACATGAGAGGGAAAATGTTGGAATCCCCAAATCATCGCTGTGTAAATATATTAATATGAAAAAAATAATAATATTTGGGTGGAGAATTAAGTACATTATCCAATAATTATCCTTTACATACAACTCGGGCTTAGATTATTTTCATTTTTGTCCTTGCAAATACAGCTTTAAGACGCACCTAATATTTTACGTAAATTGTAATTTTAAAATTTTAAATAAATATAAATATATGTATTCGTAATAAATATAAAAGATATGGATATTTTCGTAATAAATGTGGGTTTCCAAATAAATACAATGCTGAAAAAATATAATTCAAATCCATAAATAATACACGTTTATTGATCTGTTATGAATCTGAATTACTCAAGTATTAATTCATCGATTTAATTTAATGAATACATATTCAATACAGCTTTAACACTTATCTAATATTTTACATAAATTATAACTGTAAAATTATAAATAAATAAATATATTCGTAATAAATATAAAAGATACGTATATTTTCGTAATAAATTTAGATCTCCAGGTCTATACAACGCTGAAACAATATAATTCAAATCCATAAATAATACACGTTTATTAATCTGTTATGAATCCGAATTACTCAAGCATTAATTATTTAATTCCCTGGATTTAATGAATATATATTTGTTAAATGTGTAATTCACTAGACAACAACGTAAATAATTTATATAACGTTATCCTGATAGATATGCGACTCACCATCATTTCACCAATCAGTTGCCAGCTCGATTTAATGAATAAAATGTTAATGGTTTCCCATCACTTTGGATATTTACATATTTCAGCTTTCGGCTATCATATTTTTTTTTTTGAAATATTGTACGTTTATATACAATAAATAATACCGCCCTGCTGAAAATTGGATATTCATTTATGGATGAGACGAGTATTAGTCCGACAATTATAAAAATTCAACCTTTAGATTTAGATTCGATTCGGTTCATATTCAACTTTTTTTATTTTTAAAAAATTATAATCATTTAGTTTTTATATAGTATTCAGGTATGATAATATTAATAGGTTATTTGATCGTATCAGTTTGGTTATTTGGTTTCGAAGATAACTTATCTTAATTTTATCTAATGGTAGTTTTGTAAATTGCTATCATTAATTTATGTTATATTTTATGGTTTTAAATAATCGTTTATTAAAAAGAGACAAAATTATATATATGTTTTTTTGCATGAATATCCAAAATGTTAACACACACACACATAATACATATATATATATATACACACATGTATATTTGCGGAAAATTGTTAGATTTTCATGTCAAGGGTACTTGCATATAGATAGAGTTTACTCTTATCGAACAAGGAAATATATCATTTTTTATATATTATTTTATGAATATATACTCTCCTATATATATTCATATATATATATATATATATATTTAAATTCTATATATCATATTAATAAAATATGAATAAGACAACAAAGAAGTTTGTCTTTTAGGGAGTGGGATTGAATCTATTATGTTGATGCGACCAAATAATTGATTTGAACCTAATAGTTGGTGGTCAGTGGTTGAGAGGTGACAAAATTATTTCCAAGGTTCTGAATTTGATTAAACTAGTAGAAACTGAGAGGAATGTAATTTCTGGACCAAAATGGTCCATATATGGGTTTATGGTAGATGTAGTCCGGGCAAAGGTCAGAGATCTATCCTAATTATAAAAAAAATTGATTCGGATATCATTTTAATTGATTATATGATTTTATAATTACGGGGAATATATATTTGGCTGGTCGTGTTAAGTTATATGTCTCGAACTTCTCTCTCTAAACATATATATATTTTCTCATACAATGCATTTAGAGAGGGAACATTATTCTGTCTGAAAAAAGAAGATGCTGACATGTACATATCTAACGTTCGTTTAATCATTTTAGGGTTTTCTTAAAATTAATATTATTCTGTGTTAATGAAAGATTTTGTCTCTTTCTTCTCGATTGTATGTTTTGATTTAGTTAAATAATCGTATTAAATTGGTGTGAAATATACAGAAAACAAATAAAAATCCTCTTAAGTTGATTCGGAGGTCACAATGAAAGATGTGAAGTAGTGGTCTGCACTTTGCCCAAAAGACATATAATCATTTATTTATTCATATATTATACGACCGTTCATTTCTTTAATTATTTATTTATTCATCTAGTAATTAAAAAAAATAAAGCAGAAGACATTTTCATTAGACTAAGTCAACGGCTTGTTAGATTCAACGCAAAAGACATGTCTACATGTTATAGTTTCTAATGAGCCTTACATTCTCTGCACCCCCCCTCCCCTTCGCACCCATTTGCTCGTTGAGGTAAGAAATTTTCTCTCGCTTTCTCGCCATCCAAACACGATCTCCCAATCTAAATTCTTCCATGTAAACCCCAGTTCTTGCTTCCCTTGATCCTCCTTTACATACCCTTTTTCATTTTTTCAAGTTTTCCATCACCTTCGTACCGAAATCATTGTCCGAATCTTTACATATACACTCATTTGATTAGTCTTTTGTAGGTGTTGTTATATCCATCAAATCACCATGGCAGACGCTCTATCCGGACCTCTTGATCGACAAACGAAAACCAGTAAGTGTGTATATACGTATATATACGTTACGAATATTTTCAAGAAAGCGTTAGGGAGTCCTTGTAAATATATATATAAGTTATGTATATGTTAGATGTAGAGATGTCGGAAGACGACAAGAAAGTGATGAAGATTTGTTCGTTCAAGAAGAAGGCGATGAACGCGTCGAACAAATTCAAGAACTCGTTCAAGAAGAAGGTCCGGAGGAGCAGCAGCAGAGTGATCTCGGCCCCCATAGAAGATGACATCGACGCGGAGGAGCTTCAATCTCTCGACGCTTTCCGTCAAGCCCTGATTTTGGATGAGCTCTTGCCCTCGAAACATGACGATCTCCACATGATGCTCAGGTTAATTTGACGTTTCAGATTATTAGAGGGTATAACCGGTTTAGTCCGGTATATCTCGGTCTGGTTTGGGTTAGGATATAAAATTTATTGAATTCCCAAGGGAATTGGAAAATGGAAAGATAGAGTTTTGAGAGAGAAAAAATTCTGTGTTGTTTATTCAAAATGTCGATATAATGTATTTATAGAAATTTTATATCCTAAACCAAACCAAACTGGGATATACCTGACTAAACCGGTTATATGTATCATAGATTAAAAGACCAAAATTTCAGAATTTTAAACATTTTAATGTCAAAGTTATCAATCGATTCATATGATATACAGATTCTTAAGGGCAAGAAAGTTTGACATTGAGAAAGCAAAGCAAATGTGGGCTGACATGATCCAATGGAGGAAAGATTTCGGGGCTGACACAATCATAGAGGTGAATCTTCACAGAATCTTGGAATATTTCAGAAGAATTCTCACCGCAGCAAAAATCATTTTTACCATTTTTATTTTCTTTTTGCGAGTGAAGGATTTTGAGTTCAAAGAAATCGACGAAGTCCTCAAGTATTATCCACAAGGATATCACGGCGTCGACAAGGAAGGAAGGCCGATTTACATAGAGAGATTAGGCCAAATCGACGCTAACAAACTCTTGCAAGTCACGACAATGGACCGATATGTGAAATACCACGTCAAAGAATTCGAGAAAACGTTCAAGATCAAGTTCCCGGCCTGCTCCGCCGCTGCCAAGAAGCACATTGATCAGAGCACGACTATTCTTGACGTGCAAGGCGTGGTACGTGTATATATATTCGTTCGTATAAAACGGATTTTATAGTTAGAAGTGTTAATTTCAATCGTTTTCCGAGTGATTAGGGGCTTAAGAACTTCAGCAAATCCGCGCGAGATATTCTTCAGCGTATTCTCAAGACTGACAATGACAATTACCCCGAGGTAATCTCCTATGCCTTTACCGTCCAAGAATTCATATTATTTTCAACAAAAACTTACTCGGGTTTCAATTCTTTCCAGACGCTAAACAAGATGTACATCATCAATGCGGGTTCGGGATTCAGGCTCTTGTGGAACACGGTGAAGTCCTTTCTTGATGCAAAGACCACAGCAAAAATCCATGTTCTTGGGAACAAGTACCAGAGCAAGCTGCTTGAAGCCATCGATGCAAAGTAACAGAGCAACCTTCTTTTATTATCGTATATGTTTCGGTTGAAAAAATCGATCTTGTCTGCAAAAAAAATCTTGACGGGTCGATTTGTTTCGGTTTTGTCAGTGAATTGCCTGAATTCCTCGGAGGAACTTGCACTTGTTCAGACAAAGGTGGTTGTATGCGTTCTGATAAAGGTCCATGGAATGATCCTGATGTCCTTAAGGTAATGTTTTACAAGTTTTTTCGATAAAAATTTTTACTCGAATCTTTTTTTTTTATAATCCGGAAGTTCACTGGGTCTTCGACCCAACTACATCTCCTCCGGAGAAGTGGGGAAATCCATGTGAATGCCCGACCCAATTTTACTTGAATCTTGTATATATATATATATGTATATATATATAAGGGTTATTGTTTATTCTTGGGAAACAGATGGACAAAAACCGTGAAGCCAAGTGCCTGACGATTTCAGAAGACGAACACAAGTCTGTAGAACAAGGAAAATATTCGTCCCTTCCTGAAGTAAGCGACAATCTTTACGAAGAATCGAAAGTTTCAAAGCGATTTCTCTTCCCTTTTCCAGTGAATTCTCGAGTGAGTTTCTGAAGATTATCGATAAATGTTGCAGCTTCCAGAGAGAAACAAGAACAAAACAGTCAGTGAAATGTGCGAGAACCGTATCAAACCGGTCGACAAGCCAATGGATATGGCTTTGTCTGCAA